AGGAATGGCTGTGTTAAGTCTGACCTCGGGCCATCACTAGGATGGTAGTCCCAGATTTGGCTGTGTTAAAGTCTGACCTTGGGCCATCACTAGGACGGTAGCCCCAGATTTCTGTAGGAATGGCTGTGTTAAAAGTCTGCCCTCGGGCCATCACTAGGACGGTAGTCCCAGCAGATTTCTGTAGGAATGGCTGTGTTAAAAGTTTGACCCCAAGCCATCACTAGGACGGTAGTTCAGATTTCTAGGACCACTAGGATGGTAGATTTCTGTAGGAATGGCGGTGTTAAAAGTCAGACCTTGGGCCATCACTTGGACGGTAGCCCCAGATTTCTGTAGGAATGGCTGTGTTAAAAGTCAGACCTTGGGCCATCACTTGGACGGTAGCCCCAGATTTCTGTAGGAATGGCGGTGTTAAAAGTCAGACCTTGGGCCATCACTAGGACAGTAGCCCCAGATTTCTGTAGGAATGGCTGTGTTAAAACTCTGACCTTGGGCCATCACTAGGACGGTAGTCCCAGATTTCTGTAGGAATGGCTGTGTTAAAAGTCAGACCTTGGGCCATCACTTGGACAGTAGTCCCAGATTTCTGTAGGAATGGCTGTGTTAAAAGTCTGACCTTGGGCCATCACTAGGATGGTAGTCCCAGATTTCTGTAGGAATGGCTGTGTTAAAACTCTGACTTCGGCCATCACTAGGATGGTTATTCCAGTGTTGCTGCAATAGATCCTCATGTCAGGAGGTATATATAGTATGAAGTGATTTGTTGATTTTTACTTTTTTTTTGTTTGTTTTTGATGTTTCTCAGTACACATAGATCATAAATCATAACATTTTTTCCTGGTCGAGCAAGACACTTTACCAAGTTGTCTGGTTAGCATGCTGCATGCCTCCCACATGTTGTTCAGTTAGCTAGCCACCAGCTACTGCAAGGAAACCATGCCTCAAAATGACCAAGTGGGTGTTGGTGGTTCAATAAACAAAATAGAAATAATGGTTATAATAAAATCATTCACTCACAGCTTTCCAGTACACAACATTCAAGTTTCTATTTCTATCTGATATTTTTCAACATTATGTGGTTAGTTTTCCAGGTGGAATGAAAGATGATGTTGACCTTGACCTTTCCCAAACTGCCTTGAGAGAAACATTCGAGGAGATTGGTCTTTCAACTGAGAACGTAAACATTTGGGGAAATTTGCCGAAGATTCCTAGTAAGGTGAGAGTCAGCTACATGGGCATTTTTATGTAATTTATAACTTGTTAGTGGTGTAAATTATGTAAATGTAAGAGTAATTTGATTGCTGCCTTGTTGAATTCCAATTTCATATACTACTGGTACTATATATTTTTTTACAACTGTAGTTTATTTTTACATAAATTTTATAGCAGCTTGTTTCAGAATGAATTGGGATAATTAAGTACATCTGTCACATTTTGAAAAAGGTCTGGAAAAAATTCTTTTTTAACATTTGTATAATACTCTTATTTGGCTTGATTAAACATATTTAAAGCTGTAAAACTGGACAAAAATATTGGTATGGGTGAGGTTGTTCTTTCCCTAGAATAAGAAATTATGTAACTGAGGACAGTCTTTTATTTCATATCCAGATGTATCAGTTTGAAACAATGTGGGATAGAGGGAATTCAGTAGGATTAATTACACGGCTTTGTTTCAGAAGGATGGGAAAATTGAAGTTACTCCATATTTGGGATTCTGTGGTGATATGGATACATCTAAGCTGGTGTTGGATGATTCAGAGGTAACAAGCCTGGCTGGTCATAAGGCATTCTATGTTTTGTCTATATAATAATATCAATGTTTGACACAGAATAAACAGTAATAACACAAAGAAAATCTGAAGAATAAATGCTGATTTTGATAGTACCTACATATGTAGCTCTGTCTATCAGTTTGATCTTTTGTCTAGGCTACATATGTAGCTCTGTCTATCAGTTTGATCTTTTGTCTAGGCTACATATGTAGCTCTCTCTATCAGTTTGATCTTTTGTCTAGGCTACATATGTAGCTCTCTCTATCAGTTTGATCTTTTGTCTAGGCTACATATGTAGCTCTCTCTATCAGTTTGATCTTTTGTCTAGGCTACTCTCTCTCTATCAGTTTGATCTTTTGTCTAGGCTACATATGTAGCTCTCTCTATCAGTTTGATCTTTTGTCTAGGCTACATATGTAGCTCTATCAGTTCGATCTTTTGTCTAGGCTACATATGTTTGATCTTTTGTCTAGGCTACATATGTAGCTCTCTCTATCTTTTGTCTAGTTTGATCTTTTGTCTAGGCTACATATGTAGCTCTCTCTATCAGTTTGATCTTTTGTCTAGGCTACATATGTAGCTCTCTCTATCAGTTTGATCTTTTGTCTAGGCTACATATGTAGCTCTCTCTATCAGTTTGATCTTTTGTCTAGGCTACATATGTAGCTCTCTCTATCAGTTCGATCTTTTGTCTAGGCTACATATGTAGCTCTCTCTATCAGTTTGATCTTTTGTCTAGGCTACATATGTAGCTCTCTCTATCAGTTTGATCTTTTGTCTAGGCTACATATGCAGCTCTCTGTCAGTTTGATCTTTTGTCTAGGCTACATATGCAGCTCTCTGTCAGTTTGATCTTTTGTCTAGGCTACATATGTAGCTCTCTCTGTCTGATGATAGTTTTTATCTTGACTCTAAATATGCTAATTGTGGGATGTTTTCTTTTCTTCAGGTGGACACTGTGTTTACTAGGACTCTCACTTCTCTCTGTGATCCCGTCAATGTTGGTTCTACTCAGTTTAGTAATGGGTACACCCTGCCTGTATTTCTGGGCGGGGAGTTCAGGATCTGGGGAATGACTGCTATCCTGTTACATCAAGCTCTGACCATCCTTGCTCCAGGAATGTACAATTATAAGCTACGACATGTACGACCATTACATACCAAACCTTCTTGATGACGGTTTCATTTTAACTGTAATCCATTCATGATTTGTACAATGTTTTAATTTGAAAGTAATTATCTACCGACTAATGATGAGTTGTGGAGGGTTAATGTGACTGCTGTTGATTATATTATGAAAGACATGACAAATTTTGACATTAATTATTGACTATTAATTAAGTATTTATAAAAGTAAATGATGGGTGTCAATTTGACAGGAACCATCTTCAAATCAGGTACAAAACTTAAAAGTTAATGAACATATCACTTGTTGAAAACAATCTCGTTGATTTTCAAATAAATTTGAAAACATTATTGCTGTGTTTGTTGTAAAAAGAACATGTGTAATTTGCATTGTTTTAAAGTTACTATATATTTTATTACCTTCAGTTCACAGAAATAACATTTTAGATTATTTCTCCTTGCTCGGATGTCAAAGTCACTGCATGTTTACAAAGTCCTATCAAAATCTAGGTGAAGAAAATAGGAACAGTTTACAGTAGCACTTGCCAAAAATGGCAAAGAAAAATATTTTTACGACATGACAAAAATTGTTCTTATGAAATTCTTTGACAGAATTATAATGACAATAGCTGATTTTGATAAAAAAAGTTGTTTTTTTTTAATTTGTATCAACTCAATTAGAATGATTACTGTTTTTTCCTCCAATTTCCATACAGGCTTCACTGGTCAGCAAGGTCAGATTGAACTTGTAATACAGGATAGTAGATCTAGAATTATCACACATCCAAGTCATCATCAGGATCTTCCTCATCAAAGTCATCTGCCTCGTCTGGCTGGTAGAATATCTTCCCCTCACCGACTGACTTATTTAATGTTGCTTCTATCCTGTTAAAATAGAATGAAGTATGACGGAATTAGAGATGAGGACTGGTGTTTTTTGGCAAATCACAGAATCACAAAAGAAATTACACACTAAAATACAGAGTAGACTTGTCTCTATTTCATCTTTTCCTTTAATGATGTAATTTTGTAAGATCTTATTGTAAGATATACACTCTTAGGTGCCTTACAGGTTTATAACTGTCAGTTCAGTAATAGATAAATGTGACAACTGATTTTTGTATTCAAACACAAATTTAAAACTGAAGCTCACAACCTTTTGAAAACAATCATTTTTTTTGTGAAATGAGTGCAAACTTTTGAGGGTTGGATCAATTTGCAACTGGAAACATTGTGCTTTGACACAAATATCAGACATCAAAATCTCAACAATTACACCTTTGTTGTACTATTATTGTAACAAGGTACAGCTCTGAACTTGCATTATTGTCAGGACCAATTTTAGATTTATTATAAACAATGACCTTGATCTTTTCACTCAAAAAACAATTTCAAGCATGACATGTGAAGACTGAGTTTAGTCAAGTTTTTTTTCGGTAATTGGTGATCCTGATCAATTTTCTATTTATAGTAAGTGAACTTGATTTTGGACATTTTTACTCCAAAGTGAGCACTCCTGAAGGGAAGGTAGCATGTGAAATTGGACTTTGATAGGTCGAAGCAAATTCAAGTTATTGTCCAGAAATTGTCAATTTCATGGTTATATGACTATATGCTTTTTTTTGACACTTTATTCTGTGGATAAATCTGGCACACAAAATCCATTACTAATAAAATCCATGTCAAGTCGTGATCTGTTTATAATTTTCTGGAATCCCAGGGAAATTAATGATTTTACTGTACTAAAGAAAGAGAACATAACAGATGTGAAATCTGCAAGTAAATGTGTAATAACCATAGAGTAGACAAGGAAATTCACATTTCTGATAACATAATTGATTTGTATGGTTGTTTTGATTTGTATGGTTGTTTTGATTTGTATGGTATGTGGTTTTGATTTGTATGGTTGTTTTGATTTGTATGGTTTGTGGTTTTGATTTGTATGGTATGTGGTTTTGATCTGTATGGTATGTGGTTTTGATTTGGTTTTGATTTGTATGGTATGTGGTTTTGATTTGTATGGTATGTGGTTTTGATTTGTATGGTATGTGGTTTTGATTTGTATGGTATGTGGTTTTGATTTGTATGGTATGTGGTTTTGTCTTCTTGAGTTCAATCTGCAATAAGCCAAAGGGACAAATATATTATCTCTAACTAATTAAATTCTTGAAGTGGGCATATAACAGATCATAGCATTTATTCGATAGTATTTCTGCTGAACAACAAATAGAAGTTATTTCAAGGCAAAGGGATTATTGCTGGATAAACAGTGATATGCTTATAGCTATACAAGAAATCTGTTTTATTTGAAAGCACCTTCCAGAATATCAGACAAAATCAATATTAGAATGCTATTTTTCTGGAGTGTTTTCATAAATTTATCCCCTTTGTCATTAAATAGCGTTATAGAATTGAATGTCCTGAGGTTGGCTATATATTGTATATATTACATATATTGCCTCACCTGTCCTGGTCATAAGTATATGGAAGTTTCACCTGGCTTCGTGCTTTCTTCTCCTGATCAGTCAATGACAGGTTAAAGGTCAAATTAGCAGCAGGATCTACCTACAAGAAAACATTTTCAAAGAATTTTTTTAAAACCAAATCATAACATGAACAGGTATTTTTTAACTTCTGTGGGAGGCAATTTTGATTACTAATTTTATATTTGTTATCTTATATCTTTCAACAAATGATTTCTTAAGGTTTTTTTGTGTGGGCGTTTTTTTCTTTTTTTTTTTTTTATTTCAAATTTTTTCAAAAGTTTTTTTCTTTCTGTACATATGAAATGAAAAGAAGCAAATGCTGTGCAATTAACTAACAATTAAGGTTTTTTGATCTTACACAAAGGAACAAGTAACAGTTTATTATGTCAGTTGGATGTCAGCTTCTGGTTTAGAAACAAGAACAAGCTACGTTGGTGAAATCAAAACTTATGACTCTGACAACAAAGAAGCCGACAGAATAGTTTTTTCTCACAAAAATTTATACGAAATGTTTTCAGCTTGACAAATATACCTTAAACCCAATACAGTATCTAATTAATAATGCATATATATACACTTTTATATACACTGTCAAGAGTTATCCATCATATCTAGCTAAGTCTTACTTTTATATATGTACATATCAAAACTTGTCCATTCTTAGGCCACCCCAGATATGAACTAACCAATCAGAAAGAAGAACCGTCATTGATTATGCTTACCATGTGTTATAAATATATCTCTTTGCTGATCAACTTATTCTGAGGCCTCTGATAATGTGTTTAAGTTAAATACTGAAAAATCTGAGAACAGTAATCAATCAATCATTACCCTGATCTAGTAATATCATTTACATATGCATGAGTATTTATGAAATTTATTGAACATAGTCACATCAAAATTAACATTTCTAAATATTTATTAATAACTGATTAACTTCATAGAAACCAAAGTATGTTAACACATCTTAAGTCATGAAAACCCAACAAAACCAGGTATAAAGTACAAGCAGATAAAAAATTCTTTAAATGAGAGTGCATCTAGTACCTGTCCGGTAGGTTGTTGTGGTGTTTCATCGATAAGAGACTTCAACTCCGTGATGTTTTCAATCTCAAATTGGTCACTAATGTTGAAATGCTCTTTCTAAAAAATAAAACCAAAATTCAGTTACAATAGTTGAATTTTCTAAATCATCTGACAGAGAATGCACTCAGTTAATAGTATACAATCCTGTCTATAATGGTCAGTCAATGGAGCAGAGAAAAGTGCCCATCTTAGACAGGTGACCTTTATGTAGAGGATCAATTACCATAACATTCATTACATTGGGGCTCGCTACCAACGGCTATTATAGACAGGTGTCTGTTATAAACAGGGTATACATGTGCTCCTATAAAGAGCTTAGTTTGGTTATAAGGCACACAGAAAAGAATCATCACATAACTTTGTTTTCTTGTTTAAACATAAAACACAAGGGCCGTCAGAGACGGATTATGCTCCCCTGATGGGACAAAAGTATGAAATATAACAAAAGGCAACAAGAGAGTTATGGTTCTTGTGCACTGCTCTTCTTCTTGTTGACATCTATCTACCTTATGAAGTTTAGTGTAATGCTCAGGACAAAATTTAAGTTTGAGAAATAACAAAGGGCAATAACTCCAAAAATAATGCAAAAGAGTGCCATAGTTCTTGTGCACTGCACTTCTCTTTGTTGAGATCTATCTTCTTATGAAATTTTGTGTTGATGACTCTTAAAAGTTTTTGTGTTATGCTCCAGAAAAAATTATAATGGACAGACGGACAGACAAGGCGGCAACTATAACTCTCCCTTCAGGGCCTTAAAATTCAATGATCTCATAAGGACCCACCTATACTTAATTATTTTTTTGAAGAACCAATATCAATGAACTCACTTAGCAAAATTTTCTTACAATTCGGATGATTTTTCCGGAGATCTTTTTATGAAGAGTAGTACAGCAGAATTCATGTCCTGCAGATTGTGAAGGTGACGTTCTAATTACTGTTGATGCTGTGTGCTCCACCAGACTGAGGCTGTTACTTTCATGCAGATCATGATGTACCAATGCAACAACATGTTCAATGGAAGCTCCTGTTAAAAACAAATTAGAACTAGATCATTTACCACACTCTCCAGCAGGATTTCATAAGATGTATCTTCCTTTTATTTTTGCTACTTGTATATATACACCTAGGAACATTTCTAATCAGAACACCGTTAATTTAATATGATCAAACAGTATTTATATAAACAACAAGAGTACCTCGGAACTGTTTGTGTCACGGTCACCCAGAAATTGAACTGGATGTGCAACGATCAACCATAAAGTTGTAATACCAAATTTCATTTCTATAACTTGAAGCATAACCAAAGAAAGTCAATATTCCCAGAGAATTTTCTAAGTTCAAAGGGGCATAACTCAGCCAAGAAGGGTCACAGACACCCAGTTATCAAACTTAATCTGTACCCTTGCAACAACGACGACGCTGACGACGATGCGTGATGATGGACAAAGTGATCCCTAAGTGTCCGCCAGCTCTGCAGGTGACACAAAAACTCCGCTTTGTTACCTATATCTATCCAGCAATACACCAATACCTGGTCATACCACCCAAACCTGCTGCTGTTCAACAAAATCACCAACACAAATGATGTTATGGTTCTGTGGTAAGTCCACTTTCTGACCGAGCCAGAGGTAAGGTGATGAGATTAGCAGTGATAAATCTGGGGGGGACCAAGCGACCAAAGGCAGTGGTACACCTGGTGGGAACAAATAGGGCCAAGGGTGCCATGGGGGCTAAAGGGACTAAGGGGACCAAGGGAACTAAGAGGACCAAAGGGACTAA